AGGACGATTTCTAGATGGCAAAAAGAAAACTTAGAACGAAAAGGGGATGAAGGATCCTAAAGGTTAAGAATGAATGCATGCAATGCAATGCCATGAAAATATGTTCAAAATGCACCTGAGAAACAAAATGAAGCAAAAGAAAGAAATTAAGAACAAACACAAAATATGTACTTTTGTAACTAAATAAAGGTACGATCAGACTTTACATCAATAGGGCTTCGATCATTGATACCTTGGCAACCATCCTGTTTCCTTCCACATATCACAGGACTCTCAATGTGAGGAAGACCCGAAACGGTGTAACCCAATAATCCAACCAAAGTTTTATTTAATCTTTATACCTTACTAAGCTTTATGGGCGAAAATAACATAGTAAGGATTTCATGTCTTAAGACTAAATGGCCAAGAATCAGAATCGACGCCTCCTTAAGAACCCGTCACGGCGAATCAGCTTTCGCTGAAACAGTGAGCCCACCCGAAGGGGCTCAGCTCCTATGCTTTCACTTTTTCGAGAGCCACAAGTATCATATCACACAGTTCTTCATTCGCCATATTTGACTTGAGTTGGCTTTTGATTTGATTGAGCTTTGATTTGTACTTCGTTTTGAATTTGGATTCTTCAATCTTCATCTTTGGAATTTCTTTGGATTTCTTCGTTTTGGTATTTGAAATTCTGATTAGGGTACTAGATATGACAGTTGTACCCTTCCTTCATTCTTGACTGTGTGGGTCTGATACATAAGCTCTCTGTTACCGCGGGGTAACGCGTGTCAACAAATAGGTCCGTGTTCTGTGGGTTCAGAGTTGCCGATAAAGATTCTTTTTTAAACATTCAAAAGAAAATCATCCTAAAGCTGTTATTACCACCCAAAAAACGTTTCAATATAAATTTTTTTTTATTATCTGAGGGTAGGGTCTCGAATTACGATATTTGGGTCCCCTAGTTATGACAGCTGATTCTATGCTTCTGGTAACAATCCGGTTGCTTCGGTATTTTTCATTTCATGGAGCAATTGTATGTAAAGAGTGTCATCATCTCGTACACTTTTTTTTTTGGATGAAATTTGAAAATAAGAAAATGCATGTATGAGAATGAGTGAACCTAAAATACAAGTCTACCCCTCCCCAAGCTTAAAGATAAGCATCGTCCCCGATGCTTGGAGAGGGTGGAACAACCTAAAACGGAGGTGGCGGAGGAGGATAGTAGCTGGGGTTTCGGTCCAAGCCAGAAGTCCTCCTCATGTTTGCGTTGACGCTCTTGATCCCGAGCGTACTGGGTGGTGAAGGTGGAAAAATTCTGGGTCAGGCTGGTAATATCCTACTGATAGGTGTCGAGGCGGGTATGGATTGATTGGAATTCGTCCATATATTGTTGATGATAAGGCGGGGGTGCAGCAAAATGGGATGAGCTGCCACCACCGGTGGGAGAAGCATGGTGAGGCTCCTCCTCTTCTTCATCATCATCATCACTTCTTCCTCGTTTTCTTCGCTTTTCTCATCGACCTCGGTGGAATAAGAGTGGGGGAAGATGTATGGAATGATTTGCCAATCAGTCATATGAATGGGATTTCGGAAATCAAGAATGCCTTTATTTTCTGTGTGATGAGGAGCTTGGGATCATGATTTTGACCCACGGTCCAGTGGTGTGTACCATCGCCTGCAGCGGAAGAGTCGCATGGACTCAAGGATAGCGGTGGTGAGATAAGGCTCACCGGCAGTGGCTGGTGGGGACCGGGTATGGGGCTCGGATGTGGGCGCTCTTGGCGAGCATGCTGACAATACCCTCACAAACAATCTTTCCTGATCGGGATGCGCTAAGGCGGATGAGCTTGTGGCACAGAAACCGACCATAATGAGGAATGAGGTTATTCTCGGGATGGGTCATTGCATAAAGGATTTTAAGTTCCAGCGCGCTAATGGTGCTTCGCTCCTCTCTAGGGGCGACGAGCGAAGCAATGATTCTGTGAGCTACCTTAATCACAGGATGGATAAGTGATGAGGCTTTAGCAGCGCTAGAGACATATGGATGTAATTGGGTGAGCTGGGTCCACCAAGTCATGTCATAGTATCCTTGGATTGGATCAGTGGGGCCAAATGTGTTTTCCGTTGGGGCCCCACAATGGCATTGATTTGATCCAAGGAGATCTCATAGTCTTGATTCATTAGACGGAAGTAGAGGATCCCATGATCTAAATAAACTGAGGATAGAAACTCAGCAGTTGGGACTTTATAGCTCAATTCATGGACCCTCAACAAGCCGTGCCACCCTATGTTGCGAAACAGGGTTTTGACTTGATTGTAAACATGCAACTCTTTCAAAGTTGGAACATGCGCGAATTTTTGGATGGCATGACCTCGTTTAAGGAATGACTCAAGTTTGCCCTGTTGAACTGGGCCAAGACATACGACACCAAAATGAGACGGGTCGGCTGGGGGTGTTGGGGACCTAGATGGAGGTGAGGGAGATCTGGATGGAGGTGATGGAGATCTAGGCTTCCGACGGCGGGCGGATGATTTGGTTTGTCTTGGTCTTTTGGAAGATGTAGCTTCCATAGTCAAGTTTGGGACAGATTAAAAGTCAACGGGTCAAAATGTCAAAAAGTCAACTGTTGACGGGTCCAGTCAACTTTGAACTTGGCCACCAAAATTTCGCGGGAAATTTGGTTTTCAAAGATTTCCAACTAAGAATCAAGTCCAAATAGACCACACTTTCAAGTATTTGACTCAAGAACACAAAATTCAAAGGTTAGGAGTTGGAAAGAATTTACCGAATCGTGTGTTGGATCGTGTTGTTCTTGATGGAAAAGATCTTCTTTAACCTCCCCAAGCTTGCCCCTTTCAAGATTGAGACACTAAAACACCAAAATCAAGTGAGAATTTTCGGATCTAGGGTTTGTCAAAACCCCCAAATCCACCATTAAAATGCAAGAAAATGGTGTTTAAGATGGAGAAGATGAAGTGTAGATGATGAAAATCAAACCTTTTTGTAGATGAAAGTCAAAATCTTGAAGAAATTGAAAGGTATTTGATGAAAATCGGACCTAAGGTTTTTGTTGGGAGAGAGGGGCTGTTAGGAAGTGAAAGTGGGGATAAATGAGGTCAATCCGATTTTTTTCTTTAAAAAGGGTGAACTGCTGCGCGAACACGACCCGTGTCTCCCCAGGCTAAATTGACACGCCCCGTGTTGGGGGTTTATGCTGCGTTATGTACGAACACGATGTTAGTCGAACACCCGTGTTGGTCAAGGCCAAAACAACACGACCCGTGTTGCTCTCTGGAAAAATTTGGGACGTTTTTGGACGAACACGACCCGTGTCATTTGCAGGCCAAAATGGGACACGACCCGTGTTGCTCTCTGGAAGATTTTGGGACTTTTTTTCATTAACACGACCCGTGTTCCATTAAGGCTAAAATGGGACACGACCCGTGTTGCTCTCTGGAAGATTTTGGGACTTTTTTTCATTAACACGACCCGTGTTCCATTAAGGCTAAAATGGGACACGACCCGTGTTGGTCCTGGATGCTAATCCCCACTTTTTGAATTTGAAAATTTCCCTCTCTCGGAAATGAAGTACTTTTCCACCCCAAGGTCCGTTCTTTTGGTTTGAAAACAATGACAAAACACATTTGGAACACTAAAAAAAATAAGAATGCAAAGAATGAAATGTTTTAGCGAAAAATGACGAAAATACCCCCGGGTTGCCTCCCGGTTAGCTGCCCTTGTTTTAGGTCGTTGGCTCGACTTTGTCCCCCAGGCGTGATTCATTCTTGGTATGTGGGGTTCTCCAACTCTTCTACCTCTTCATTCTTCACCTCAAATCCCTCATAAAACGGCTTCAACCTGTGACCATTGACTTTGAATGTTTTACCCGTTTGCTTGCTCGTGACTTCCACTGCACCATGGTCAAACACCCTTGTGACTACGAAAGGACCGACCCATCTTGATCTTAACTTTCCTGAAATTAGCTTGAATCTCGAGTGATAAAGCAACACCTTTTGTCCTTGTATAAAGGTCTTTCGGGAGATTGCTCTGTCATGATATGCTTTTGTTTTCTCCTTATAGATCATGCTACTTTCGTATGCATCATTCCGAATCTCTTCTAGCTCTTGGATATCCAGTTTCCTTTTATTTCCCACCTCATCTTCAGTCAGGTTGAATTTCTTTACCGCCCAAAAAGCTTTATGCTCAAGCTCAACTGGGAGATGACATGCTTTACCAAACACAAGCCGATATGGGGACATACCAATGGAGTTTTAAAAGCAGTACGGTATGCCCATAAGGCATCATCTAGCCTAAGCTCCAGTCTTTGCGGTTTGGGTTGACTGTTTTCTCCAAGATACTTTTGATTTGTCTGTTGAGACTTCTGCTTGTCCATTGGTTTGGGGATGGTAAGCCGTTGAGACTTTGTGTGTCACTCCATATCTCTTCAAAACAGCTTCTAGCATCCGATTGCAAAAATGGGTCCCGCGGTCACTTATGAGCGCCTTTGGTGTGCCAAACCGTGAGAAAATCTGTACCTTAAGGAAATCAACCACAACTTTTGAATCATTAGTACGGGTGGCCTTAGCCTCCACCCATTTGGACACATAGTCCACTGCTAACAAAATATAAGAGCAACCAAAAGATGATGGAAATGGTCCCATAAAGTCAATGCCCCATACATCAAAAATTTCACATACTAGAATAGGGGTAAGGGGCATTTGATTTCTAGAGCTTAAGGACCCGGATTTTTGGCATCTTTCACAATGTGCACAAAGTACATAGGAATCATGGAAAATAGAAGGCCAAAAGAATCCGCTATCTAAAACTTTCCTAGCTGTCCTTTGGGGTCCAAAGTGACCACCACAAGCATAGGAATGACAAAAATTAAGGATAGATTGTACCTCTTTTTGCTCAACACACCTGCGAATTACTTGGTCCGCACAGTACTTCCAAAGGTAAGGTTCATCCCATATGTATCGTTTGGCTTCTTTTTTGATTTTGTCTCTTTGCCAACGGGATGAATCTGGGGGAAATTGACTTGTGACCAAGTAGTTGACGATATCTGCATACCATGGTGCCTCTTTGGCTGCAAATAGATTCTCATCCGGAAATGTGTCACAGATGGGTTTACCATCTTCGGGTGATACGATGCGACTTAGATGATCCGCAACCAGATTTTCCTTTCCACTCTTGTCTTTGATCTCAATATCGAACTCTTGCAAAAGCAGCATCCACCGTATTAACCTCGGCTTTGAGTCTTTCTTTGTAAGCAAGTGCTTTATGGCTGCATGGTCCGAATATATGATCACTTTAGTTCCAAGGAGGTATTGTCGAAACTTCTCCAAAGCAAAGACAATAGCAAGCAACTCTTTCTCTGTTGTGGTGTAGTTGCCTTGTGCCCTATCAAGGGTCTTTGATGCATAGTAGATGACATGATGTGCTCGGTCAACCTTTTGTCCCAAAACTGCCCCAACCGCGGTATTGCTAGCATCGCACATGATTTCGAATGGAAGATCCTAATTTGGCGGTTGAATAATGGGGGCGGATGTCAAAAAATCTTTCAAAAGGTCAAATGCCTTTTTGCATTCATCACCAAACTCAAAATCAGCCTCCTTTTGTAGAAGTTGACACATCGGTACAGTAATCTTGGAAAAATCCTTTATAAACCGCCGATAAAAACCTGCATGGCCAAGAAAAGAACGTACTTCCCGAACATTTGTCGGGTATGGTAAGCTCTTAATAATATCTGTTTTGGCCTTGTCAACTTCTAAACCTTTCTGGGACACCACATGTCCAAGTATCAAGCCCTTGTCGACCATAAAATGGCATTTTTCATAATTAAGGACTAAGTTTGTATCAATGCACCTTTGTAAGATTATGGAAGAATGGTAAGTACAATGGGCGTACATTATGTACACACGGCGTACTTGCTGCATGCGCGCCGTCCCGGGATCCTTAGTATACGTTGGGCGTAACCAAGCCAAGGGAAAACCCTAATTTTTAGGGTTTTACTCTATTTAAGGACCTTAAGTCCCTTAATTCCCTTACCTTTTCAGCCTCCGTTACTATTGTAGTGAAAATCTCAAACCCTAAGCCACCTTGAGTGCATTTGTGAGCTTTTTTGAGTGTTTGTGGTGTTCTTTAGTGACTTTGAATGAGAAGGAAGCTTGGAAAGAAGAAAGGACGAGGAAGGTACTTGTAGATCTATAAGTTTGACACCATATATAGCCTATTGAAGGTATAAAGCTTGAAACTCGATCATTACAAGCTTAGATCTAGGTTTAGGGTAGAAAATGGTATCTTTTGGTCCCATAGTTTGGATTCTTGGAGTATGAGCAACTTCATACCATATGAGCCGTCCTTTTGGACTCTTGGAGGTGTTTTGAGTCATAAAAAATCATATCTTGATGGTTAAGCCACAACCATGCAAGTATTAGTAACCACCCAAGTGTACTTATGGACTTATTTCATGATTTGATCCCCCAACCTTGCATGCAAAAGCATAAAGTTTGCAACCTTATGGCTTAAGACATCATTTGGGACTTTTATCTAAGTTTTGGGCGTTAGGAATTAATGGATTAAGTCTTGGTAGTGAGTTGGGTTGGCAGACCAATACGCATGCGTACTCTAGTATACGTTGCGTGTATTACGTTAACATCCCGACTCCTAGTCAACACTAACATACGTTGGGCATACAAGCCAAGTAGGTTGCACGTATGCAATCATTGGGACTAGAATATTTTTGGGCTCTTTTGGTGTTGGGCTTTGGACTTAAGTAACTTGGGCCTTGGGCCCACCTGATTGTAGCAGGTCATTTTGGGCCTAAGGCCATGTTTGGGGGTTCTTGGGGGCATATTGGGCCTTAGAGGCTTATAGTGGGCTTGGATGCCTTTTTAGGTTTTTTTTTATGGATTTGGGTCTTGGAGGAAAGGAGGCCCAATTAGGCAAAGGTAAAGGATCCTTTTTGCCTTAAGTCATCGGGTTAGAATGTGACCTAGTTTCTAATTAGGGTTTTATGCTTGTGCGATCGGGAGAGGAGTTTGTGAGTCATCCACTGAGTGAGATTCAATACCTACATCTTGAGCCGAGTCTTCCTTCGCAGTATCTATAGGTCAAAGGCACCAAGTCGGCTCACTAGTTTATGTTGTAGCGTGATGATTGTCTTTGTGACAATTGTCAGTTATGTCTGTATTTGCTTGATGGTTCTGTGATTTCTATTATGATAATATGTGATAGTGGTAGGGGTGAAATAGACCCAGTATCTGGTTAAAATAGACCGAAGGGGATTGCAAGCACCTAGATATGCTTGATAGTATTCAGTTGAAATAGACCAAAGGGGTAGGAAAGCACCCATATATGCTTGGCAGTATCCAGTTAAAATAGAGCCTTAAGAATCACAAAAGATATATACCTAGGGTGCACTCTCACTTTAAATAATCATTTATTCCCAATCAACTTGATACCAATAGATATTAGGAACTTTGATGTGATTATAGGCATGGATTGGTTAATCCCCCACCATGCTGACATTATGTGCTACGAGAAGGTCGTTCGCCTTCACCTCCCCGAC